AATAAAGAGGCAGTACTGTGATTTACAGCAGACATTTAACTGAAAAATTCCTTCTCATTCAAAGCTAACATTACTCCAGCCAGAGACATTCAAAAACTATTTGAGAAGAGGCTACTGGCAGCAGCCATTGTATCAGAATTCTACTGCTTTTATCCCCAAAGAGCCAAAGTGTGCTACACATGTTCTACACAACCATTTAGCCAGACAACAGCTGCTAGAAAAAGGCATATCAAGTATCATTATTTTGAATATACTTTATGCTGGACTCATTGGTGTGCTGTGATGCGGACAATGACAACTACAGCCAACACAAAAAAAAAAAAAAAAAAAACCCAGAAAACAAGACCATACCAAAAACATGACTTGGTTCTTAAGCATACTTGCTATTTCAGCTCTTATCCTCTTCAAGCTAAGAAAAACTCACTTACTGCTTTCTTATTCTTACACAGAAAGCAGCAAGACTACTCTGACTTACACAGGATAGGTATACTTGTGGACAGTCAATTTTGCTTTTTCCTTTCCTCTCCCCACCTCCTGTAACAGAGCATAGAAGAAAGCACCTTTCCTGCTTCTTGTATAAGCTCTATGCCTGCTGGGAATTCCTTTGCTTAGGGAAATCCAGCTAATGACACAAGGTATTAAAGTATCCTTTGAAAACTTTTAGTCATATAAGAAGAGCAGAAAAGAAAAGATTATCCAACCATTAAAATACATTTAAAGAGAAAATATTGTACTATGCTCGATCTGTCATTTAGATGTACAATTGTTCTCTGTGAAGGTCACTATTTTTGTATTTTATGTCTAATTGTCAACTCCTTATTTTTTCAAAAAGAAAGCTAGCATGCAAAACAGTTATGAGATACACCCCCCTATAACAAACACTAAGCCATGTGCATACACATATGTCTATTAAAAAAGAAAAATTTTGCAATCAGCTATTTGTTTGACGATTCCGTTAGGCACAGCCCCAGACCTTAACATCTGAGTAAGGCTTGACAGAACGCATTCTAATTAGATTTCTAAATATAATATCTGATCAGTTAATGTTTAAAATAGCCTTTAGCAAAAAGTTGAATTACTACCTTCGGAGTTCAACAGCTCGTCGTATTCTTTCCAATCGAACCATGTGTTCTCGCAATCTCTGTTCCTTCATCTTTTCAAAAGGCAAGATATCCTTTCTACCCCTGTATTCCCTGAATTTCACTTTATCTTGAATAATACGCTCTTTGTTCCTCAATATCTGTGGCTATAGATAGAGATTACAATGGTTATTTCAGAAGTCTCATTCATTTAGGGAGATTTCTGGATGCTATGTTCATGTATCAACAACTACTTAGCTATCCCAAAGCATACAAAGCTTCAGATCTATCTAAGCTTAACAGTTTGAGATAGTTTATTGACTTTTCACTAAAGGTATCAGCTGTAAGGGAGCATCAAATCAAATAAGGAGAGCGTCAAATCCATAGATACTTACTTTATCAAACCTTCCCCTTCTAACTGTCCTAGTGTGGCCTTGGTCTCCTTTTGTTTGGTCTAGAACTACAACTTGACCTGGGCTTTTACCACCTAGTGAGGGGTGGGGTGGGGGGGGAAAAAAAAAAAAGAGAAGGTTTAAAACAAACACAAATCCCCAGTTGCCTATTACATATTTTCCTTGATGAAATTTCTCAATCTTTAAACTGAAGTGTTACTGGTAGGAGAAGCATGCCAGCACATGTCTGTGCAGTTAAGTAGTAATATAAAATATGGAAGCTTTTACAACAGTTATAAAGTAAAGTAATAGATGTAACTGGAATCTTTTAAAAAAGAATAGGTGTTTGGTTAATCTTTTTTCCTGCAAGAGCAAGAACATGCCCCAAAACCAAGCCAGACACACAGATTCAACAGGAGGAAACACTGCTATATTGCATACTTATTCTTTTCTTTTCTTCAGTTTTTTTAGTGGATTCTTGATTAGGGCCACTTGATCCATTATCACTCTTCTCATCTTTACCTTCTGTTTTCTTGGCTTCTTTACTTTCTTTTTTTTCAGATTTCTCAGATTTCTTTTCTTCCTTTTTGGTTGATGGAGTTCTTGTTAGGAGAGAAATACACAAATGCAGTGAGGAAGATTCAACCCAAATAATTTTCCAACTTTAGAAGACACATGAGAGTTCTTACTTGCTCGTTTTATCACTTGATGCAGTCTTCTTATCTCCCATGTTTCTACCCGAACTGGATTTCTCATCACTTTCTTTCTTCAATTCCTTTTTGGAGGGATCACCTTTCACCTATTTTTTTTTCCAAAAGCGCATTAGGTTAATACATATTCTTGCAGAAGGCCATTTATTTTGCAACAAGTTTTCACCTTATTAAACTTACTTTCTCAACAGAAATTTGTTGTCCATGCAGCTCTGTTCGATGAAGGTGTGCTATACATCTAGCCACTTCTGTACTAGAAGACATTGTTACTATGCCATAACACTTTGCCCCTGGGCTTCGTGCATTTGTGACCACCTTTGCACCAAGTACCTACATAAAGAGGTTAAATGTAGGCTTTTAGAGAGACGTTTCTAGTAAGGAAGAGATGATATTCCAATGTTTTTATTCTAGTGTTCAAACAAACAAAAACAGCACCCCACAAGCAAAAGTGATGCTCTAAGTTTTCAAAAGCGTATAGCTGCACAGGAGGCTGCCGCTTTTCAAAAATTTCATCCGAGCTATCACATCACAGCAAATTAATGTCTCCTGCCTGTTTTCACCAGTCACGACACCACTTAAATGTTTCTTTCAGACTTATGAGAATTCATTCACAGAAACACCACAGATGTAGAATTTGATGGATGGACAACCACCTCATCCCCCACCCTCCAACTCCCAAAAAAGAATGAATCAGCAGCTGCCGATTACTGGTAGGAAGGTATAAGCAGTATTATGCAGCAATTTATTAAGGAGCTCAATTCTTCAAAGGCCAATAGCAAACGTGTCAGTTAAACAACTTCAGTAAACAGCCCTTTGATGCCTGTTTCTCAGGAAAATATTAAGCATGCATCCCTGCTGCTTGTTAGAACTTCTGTAACTACCAGAGCAAAATTTCTTGATTTAATTGTGCTCCAATGCAGCAATTTCATCTTTTTAATAGCATGCAATAATATATTCATTTACTCGTTAAATATTTCCCCAATTTATTTAAAAAATTAAAATCTGAGTAATTACGTGTACCAAGCATCTTTACAGCAAGAACAGCCAACAAACTGAAAGTGCTAGCAAATACACTCTCAGGTTTCAACACCTGTGAAGTCAGTAAATAAAATCATCTACTAAATTCACTGGACTAATCATACATCCAATAATCAGTACAGATAGTTACTATTCACAGTCCTAAGGTTCTAACCAGTCCCTAAGAGGTAATAAAGTCATAAGAGCACAGGTTTATATAAATACTGTGAATTCATATAGTTATCAATAACTTGTTGTTTGAGCAAATGATGTTTTCAAAAAACGTTTAGCTTCTAGGAATTCTTCAGTGTTCTATGGAGTTCAGGTGTTAAATCAAATGAAAATTCAAGAAAACAGTTTAATCAGCCTGTAACAGAATTCATTAAGTCATAAAGCAAAAAAAAAAAAAAAAAAAATCTCTGAAAGAATAGGCATTAACAGTCACGTTTTTTGCCTATTTTTCCCATTCAGAAGTTCTCCAAACCACATTTTACAAAGTCTCTCAATGCAGCAGGTGCTGTAAAGACTGTTCATATCACAGTTTTACCAGTTGGCATAGCGTCTTAAACCCATGGTTCAATACAGCTGCTGCACAAGAACATAACCATTGTTATTTAATTTCAAAATCCTTTTTTCCCCCTCTTCTTTTACTTAAAGCCAGTCCTGAACAATCATAATACCGACACTGCTTTTGCATCTATCTTACCTCAACAGAAGAAGAATTTCTTAAGGAAAAACAAACAAAAAAAATTTACGGTTCTTCCCATAAGGCATACATTCTTACTTTAGGTGCTGAAAGTATTGGGTTTTTAGATTACACTGGTTAGACATTTCATCCTAGACTTCTATTTAAATGAAGCATTGCTCAAATTCTGTATTAGAACAAGGGAGGGGGAGAGAAACACAAAACACACAAATGGTATCACACCACATAAAATACCTTTCCATATTTGCCAAAGAGATTTTTCAAGTCAGCAGCTTTTGTGTTGGAAGAGAGTCCGCTAACCCACAGGTTTCTAGTTGAACTTCCACTGCTACCACTAACACTGCTTGCGCTTCCTGAAACAAGTTTTACAAAACAGCCAAAAATTAAAGAGAGGGGTACAGGGAACACCGAACTAAACCGCTGCTGAAAAGAGTAGCTTAGCCTGTTACCTCTAAGTAATGCTTTATCCCGTTACCTTTCTTGACAAGACTTCTATATAAAAAAAAAATATGCCATAAGATTTCATTAATTTACTCATGTATTGAGACCAACAGCTTGGCTAATTCATACCCAAAAAACAGAGCTAAAAAAATTCTATAAACCTCAGTTAAAAACATGCTTTTTCCCTTCCTTTGAGTATCTAAATTTAGCTTCAACTTATGTTTCTTACCAATAACTTCCATCCAAAGAAGTCTTTCTAGCACCCAACATTTGCCTTTATACTACTCACATTACCAAGAAGGTGACTGATAGAAGAGACTTAATTAATCCTCAGTACGACTTATTTTTCCCTACCCTCCAAAATAACATGTCTGATTTCTGCAGCTTCTTGAGGCGTCTGCCCTCCATGCAGAGCAACTTTTTAAAAAATACTGCTACTAGAACTGGATGCAGCACACCCAAACCGATCTCAAACATACTAAGGAGAAGCATGAAAAACATTACCTGCCTTAAAAATAAGTAAATAAATAACATATTAGCCATTTTTGCAACAACATAGAACTAAGAACTCACATGACTAATATAATCATGTTCCTCACAATTGTTCACTACTAAATTTATGAACTGCTTTTGAGTACGTTAAAAATGCAGCCAGTCATACAGGCAAGACCAGTACTGTAGCTCCAACTTAAGAGATGGAAAATCTGGTGGTGGCTAGGATTTTAAAAGGTAATTTAACCACCTTCGGAAAAAGGATAAGCTTCCTTCTTCAATGCATCAAGATTGACTAGGAGCAAAAAGCAGCAAAAAGCTTCAGTCCTCTTCAAGTAGGGCTATCTTGATAAACCTAGATTATCATGGTAAACTGTAATATATTTAGAATATAATTAAATAGTGAATTATAATTATTATAAACAAACACACTACACTAGCTTTGCATATGTATTTTAAGACAGCCTTATAGTAGTTACATATTATAATAACCTTACATTGTACCTGTAACATTACTGTGGACTTGCTATATCTTACTTTAATTTCAGTGTAAGCATGTAACTGTCATGAACAGACAAGCATTTACAGATGACTAATTTACATTTGTCATAAAACTTTCTCCTCAAAAATTCATTTATGAGATGAAGTCCCCTTCATCCATTAGCGACTCAGACATAAGAGACTGATGAAGGCGTTTTGGCAGAAAGCTAGCAGGAAGGCAAAATAAGGAGACTCGTGAACTCATAAGAACGCATTTGTTCAACTCTGAAGCACCAATGTAACTGGTGACATTTGTGCACTCTTAAGCTGCGTTCTGTAAATTTTTAAATAAAAATACTGGGTCTTATAGCAACAGACAAATTCCAAGACAGATCAATAGCTCTGATTTTAACACACTAAACAGCCACTAGTGCAATTTTGCTAACCAGCATCTTGGCTGGTATAGCTACTTTAGTTGAGAATTCACTTTATTTAGGGATGAGCTAGAATTAAAAACAAAACAAGCAGACTTCACTGATGTTGTTTAAGTACTTTGTTGGTATTTTTTGCTTGTTTTGTATAACATCCACACAAAGGGCTCTATTTCAATCACAGAAAGCATATCTGAAAATTACACCTTCTCATTAAAACCAAGACCTGGGACTCAGAAGTGGAATCTGTTTTGAAGTAGGAAAATATATTTTTATTTAGTGCTTAGAATAAGTATTTTTGATCTTATGAAGAATCTGGCATCAGAGGGGAAAAAAGCCACAGCTAGTGACTACTGTACCTCAAGCATAATTTACTACAGCCAGATGAAATCAACTATATAAGCCATTTTAGTACACAGCAAGAAAGTTCTCAAATAGGAAAACATTTGGCTCATGATAATGTACTACCCTAACTAATAGTTACCTTTATCATCCTTTGATGTTGTCTTGCTTTCTTTAGAGTCCTTAGTAGAGCTAGAGAAGCAAATTAAAATCAGAAGACAATTCAAAACACAGAATTTGATAAGCATTGCATTTTATACTGCTAATACTAATACACAAGTTAACATTTCAAAAATAAAAATAAAAAGGGCTAGACTGGGTTATATTTGAACAAATGATTCCCTTATGGATTCTTGCACTGATTTTCCCCAAGATGCCTGAAGATCTAGATTCTCTGACAATTCTATTCAGTGGATATATGGCAATCTTCTCCACATTTCAGGACGGGGACTTGACTTCATTTTGTGTTCTTAGAACTGATAGCTGTTCATTACCATCATCACAAGGACATTTAAAAAACTCGTCAATTTGAAAAAAATAAATAAATGCTGACAATTCGACAATGCAATCAGTAGGACATAGTGTCTATACGAAGATCTTGAATTTTAAAAAGTAACTTATGGCGGTCAAAAAAATCTATAGGCAGGAGCATAGGATACTAATTATAAGATTCTTGCTGCTACCCCCTTAATGTAGAGTGATCTTATTGAATGCTGGTACTCAGTATCGTAAAGAACTGACATAGAAAAACAAACCTCTTTGCTTGACCTGAGGCCCCAGTAGACGAGGGACCTTTCTTCAAAGTATCCTTTTCTTTGTCTCCAGATTCTGCTTTCTTTGAACTTTCTCTGGCTTCCTTCTTGACAGGATCACCCTTCACGCAGTCTTCCTTCTTACCATCTTTATGGTTCTCAGTCATCTCATAGTCCTTGCTTTCCTTCTCCAGGCTCTGTGAAATGGTATCCTGCCCATCTTTTGGCTTACTTGCTTCGGAATCTGTAATTTTCACATTTTTACCTGTTTCTAGGAGGTCATCACCATCAAAATCCAGAGTGATGGCATCTTCAGCCTGGATTGTAACCGATATGTTATCATCCTCAGCTTCTTTCACAGAGGTGTTAGCTTCCATCTCTTCATGAGCCGTGTGATCAGCCTCAGCTAGGCTTTCTTCTGAAGGAAGAGGTTTAGATACTTCTTGTGTACCATCACCAGAACCTGCTTTATCTAAGAGGATTTAACAGGAATAAATATGGCAAAACAAGAAGTTTAAACAATTTCATATGCATAAGCTAGAATAGGACCTAGAAAATACAAAGCCAGTTATTAGCACTGATGGAAGGTTAGAAAAAACACAAGGTGTATTAACACATATATAAATCCTTTACCCAGGATCACTTATTCTTCATGGCAAAATACATTTTCTAGAGACAAATACCAAAACATTAGGAGTCAGAATACGGTTCCATCCTGTAGATACCCGTTCTTCATAGAAAGTATCCATTTTCCAGTTTAGAATTTAGCGTGCCATAAGGAAATAGTTGCTTCAGACGCTCACAGTTTGACTTAATCTGTTTTTGAATCTTCCTGGTCTTACGACTTCTAACCTTCCCAAATCTGAAAGATGAACAGTCTTGGAGAATTCCAGTCAATCTTCCGTGTTGGTGTTCTCTTTGGCTTTTCCTTTCTCCAGTTGTTTGTCAGTCAAGTTAGTTGCATAAGGCTGCTGCAGAAAACAGAAGAGCGAGCTTTAATCCAGAGTTCGTTGAAAAACGGTTCCGTCTTCATCCACTGTATGGATTTCCCATTCTCAGTCCCATATTGGCATCTCCAACAGTATTCTTGGATTTGCAGAGAAGAGATGCTTCAGTCATAAGGTCCCTCGTAAACAAGGAGTCTGTAGTTTTATCCTGTAACTTCAGTAGCGTGTTTATTCCATCTTGTGTAAAGTGATGGTGTTCCATGTCCTTTCCAGTCCACAATAGGTAGAATCCTTAAGACTTCTGTCCAGAAAGTCTGTTTGACCAAACGCGTTACATTCCTTCTATCGTTTCACTAATGAGCACAGCTTAAAAAAGGTAGCCACTCCATAGGTTTCCAAACACTTGCTTTACCATTCTATATGCAACTGGTATTTCCAAGTGACAGTAAGTCAAGCATATGATGGTCCATGCATTTGTTGGGTGCTCAAGTTCCATGTAAGGGTGTACCATTTCACTCAGTTAAACATCAGTTACTGCAGTGCAAGTTGGAACTTTTCGCATCAAGACTTACCGTATATTTAAGTCAGAGTCCTTGAATACTATGTTTTTTTATTTAGTTAAAAGTCATAGTATGAGTTGTTATACATCCACCACAGTAACTGATAAGTACTGTAATCAACTCTTAAGAGTAAGATAACTCTTGAGAGTGAAATAAACCCACCGACTGCAAGGATTCCAGACACTGAGCTTAATAGGGAGACAGCTGATACTTAGTACTGGAGACAAGCCTAGTATTAGTAAAGAGACTGAATATTACAAAAGAAAGCTGCCTGGTCTACCAGACTAAAGACCTCTGAACTCTATTAAACTTCAAACATACCTTTCTCATTTTCTTCATCTTCACCGTCCTGCAAGAGAAGGAAGTCAAGACTAAGTGTCTCCTACTTAAGTACAACAGTTCATATTTCTATAGAATATATAGCTAAGGCAAATTAATGAACTGGAAACTGTTTCCAAAAACAATCAGCTAGTAACCAAGCCTATACACCTTGCCAAATCACTGGAAGTTTGTACCAAACTTCAATGGTGTCTATCCTCAACACTTTTGCAGTTTGCAATTGGTTGCAGAATGCCACTTCTTCCTCACCCTTAAGTCAGTAGGACATTTCCAAACTGTCCCACATCTTGCTAAAGCCTTCAGAATGGAAGTCACATTGCTGACTAGTACTTTCAGTGAGATGCAAGCAATCCATCATTAGCTTTGAAAGCCTAGGAGAGAAATTAGAAACTAGATACGCTTCCTCCGTTTAGTATTTAAAAGTGAAACATAGATAACTGAATAAGCAAATACTTGTTCAAATAACATTAACTTTAGTGAACAAAACATGCCATAGGAGATGTCACTTTCCAGACATCAGTTCCACGTATTTTAAAAATTACTTGAACTCAGAATGAATTTCTGAGGGTAAAGATGTTTCTAATGTTAGTATTAAAAAAAAAAAAAAAAATTCACCTCCAAAAGCATATTTTGAAGTTAAAACAGAAGTGCTAGATATAAAAGCTGTTTATACTATGCTAGAAAGCATTTAGTACAACCTTCTGAGCTGTTTAAGAGAGCTTAAAAGACATTCCTTGTTAAGCCTATGCAGTGAATACTCCCAACTGTAGAAGGAAGTTGCACTCAAATAGGATATCTTCTTTGGCAAAGTTATCTGCACTATAAAAAACTGAATAAAAGCTTCCCATATTGTTTACCTGTATTGAAATCATCTGATTCTCTAAAGACGCATGTTGGAACAAAAAAACACTCTAAAGCAATCTTTTTTGAATCAACTGCAATATGAGAATCTGCTTAACAAAACTGATTTGGAACTTACATGGACAGTTGGAAAAGTGTAATCTTCTACATCTTGACCTTCATTTTCCTATGAAAACATAAAAGGTTCAACAAGCTATTTGTAAGACACTTATAAAACAGAGCGTCGCGACGTTCAGCTGACTCAGGAAAACATTTTAGTTTAACAGATACATGCTCAATAAGGTGAACATCGCCGGGCAGCCCTCATGACTTGCATCTTTCAGTTCAGTGTTCTGATTATGTATATCACTACCAGCACCAGGGAAAAGAACCACTTGGGAACTCAGTTATGCAGACAGAGGACCATAACAGAAATTTATTAACTAATGCCATGCTTGTTTCAGGACTATTCAGAAACAGGTCAAGAAGAACAAAAGAGTATCACATTATCTTTTAGACATAACTGAGCAAGACAAACCGAAAAAACTAGTTCCAATTTCCTAGCAATGCAGGCACACTCAGTAAAACATATGTTTTGCTACCAAAAAAAAAAACAAAAAAACAAAAAAACAAAAAACCACACCACACATTAAAAATACAGCAAGGTACCTGACTTTCAGAATCCTTTTCTGCATCTTCTGTTGTCTCTGCTGGCTCCAAGTCAGGGTATCTTTTCTTTTCTGTAGATGGCAGTTCTTTAGAATTCAAATTCTCATCTTCAACAGATTCTTCAAAGTCCTTTAATTCATCATTTCCATCTTGATCACTTGCATCTTGAGTCTCCAATTCACTTTCCTTTTAATGTGAACAAGAAATATCTTGCATAACTAAGTGCATTAGCTAGACTATGAAACATTCACTGCTAGGTTCACTGTTTCTGCTAAATACTGCATCACAGCCATAATCTCAATACTTAATTTATAATCCTACAGTGAATTTGCTTATACAAATTCTACATATGTGCAACTCTACCGTTTGGTTTTCTTTGGTTAACTTCTGGGTTAAAACAAACAAACAAAACACCTCACAAAGAAGCAGCTTTAGGCATGACAGCCATGAATACAGTTAAAAAAAAAAAAAAAAAATTTATTCCAGTCAATTGTTCCCCCCACACTCCAAAGTTTCTCAAAAAATACATAATTTTATTACCTTGACAAAGGAATCTTCTTCAACTGACACATCACCAGCTAATTCATCAGCTTCCTGCTTCTTACCTGAAATGACAGAATATGCTAATGATTAGAGCTGCCATGTACAACAGACCTTCTTAATACCGATTACACACTGGGCATTAGTTTATCTGAACTGCTCACTATGATATAACCCTTCCAAAACCCTGAATTTTTAAGGTGAGGGGAAGAAACATCAAACCAGTGGTTATGAACAACTTATGAAAGCAGCTACTTTCAAGTTAGCAATTTTAGTATCAACCCTTCTACTTTAAAAAATAATGGAATCCGAGAAAGCCTTAAAGCATTCTATATTTCTAGAATTACTGGAGCTAAATTATACTTTATGACTTCGTAAAGGACGTCCAGAGATTCCTTCCAACATCTAGTCAGCCTACTGCTCAAAAGCAAGGCTAACTTCCAAATATGATCAGACTGATCAGCGTCTCATCTAGCTGTGTTTTCAAGTATCTGCAGGCACTGAGATTCCACAACCACTACAAAGCCATCTTTCCCAATGCTTCTCATCAGAGTCAAGTCAAGCACTCAGCTTTTTTTTTTTTTTTAAAAAGATATTCTTTAGCGTACTGATGTCTTCTTACATAGAACTTTGTTCTTCCAGTGCATATATGCTTTTTTTCCTAATAAAGATGGCTCAGTGGAGATGATGACTACACAGAATTCCCTTTGGAACCCAATGCACATCCTTAATCTTCTGCAAAAATAAGACTCTAAAGTGAACACTAGCTATAACTACCTTGACACAGATGCATCATTTTTACAGCATTCTGTATCTCTGAAATATTCCACTGAAGATTAACCTCTGAGGAGGTTTTCAGTAGCTGAAGGTACAAAAGCAGTTCTGTTAGGAACAGCTTTACTGACCTTCTTCCAGAACTCAGAATCAATACAAGATGCAAATGAAATGGCACTCATGATAACACTTAATGCTTTATTTCTTGACATCACTTCTTCACCCATAACTCCACCCCCTAAAGAATGGCTAAATAAACTCTATAGATATTATAAAGCAATAGGAAAGGAAAATATACGTCAAAGTTTGATAAAGCAAGCACATGCTTCTGCCACTTGGAATAGTCAATTTTGTCAGCAACGGACTTGTACACACACAGTTTCATACGCAAAGTTCTGATTTGCCTTTCAAAGCTGGAAACTGCTCAATTATAGGACAAAGAAAGAGACTGCTGTTTTGTGTCAAAAACAGCAGCACAGGTATACCTAAAGCAGCTAGCTTTCCTCAGAAAGAGGTGTGAACTTACAATTGGGAAGGACAGTTTTTAAATGTGCATCATATCTGATCTCTGAAAGCAAAAGAAACCCAGATTTTGGATGAATACTGTTTTTGGCCTTCTGTAATAGAATCTATAGCCACAGATATATATATATATATATATATACACACACACTTGCACATGTATAAAGAAAAGGCAATGAAACAGAGCAACGATTTCTACACACATTCAACTACTTTGTTTTGCCTCTCTCACATTTCAGCTCTAGTTTGTTAAAACTTAAAAGTCTACGTTATTCCTGCATCCCATATCCAGTTAAACATACACAGACATAGGCAAATACAAACACAGCAGATGTTAGACATCTTTAGCAACTATTTAGCACATAACATTTTGAAAGCTGTTTAAATTCACTCGTTTTGCCTGAGGAAATCCAGCACCCAGGTTTCAGAGGAAAATGGAGAGGGAAAAAAAAAAAAAAAAAAAAAGAATTACCTCAAGCGAGGAGTCCTATCATTCTGCAATGTCACCTAGAGAACTAAATTTTAATCAATGTGTCCTCACCAAAAGGAAGTTATACCTCTTAATAATTAAGCTGTCCACATGTTTTTGTTTGCTGCTGGAGTAAGCTAGACACAAGGACATGTTTTCCACATTCTTTCTTTAGTCTGTCTTTTGATTAAAAGCCTCCGAGTACCAGTAGTATTCAAAGACATAAAAGACCTAAATAATGACCCGCAGTTCCCAGCTTCAAGTCATGAAGACTTTTACCCCCGACGTTTACCCTGCCAGGTCAGTGTTTCAGGTCACTCTGATCTGGTAGAAGTTACACTGTTCAAAAGTGGTACTTCAAGGTTCCAGTGCAGATAGTTTCCAGCTGTTGGTAGAGGTCTGTAATAGCAGTAACTTTGCAAAAAAACCTGCATCCACAAAAATTCAAAGCTTTTCTACACCGACAGTCACTCACAGTGGGATACCGAAAGGCACATTTGGCTTATGTCTCCACATAACTAAAGTCAGTTCACAACAACTGACAGCAGTTGTGAACCTATTCAAGACCACTATCACTTAAAGGAAAATAACTGAGATTAAAAGGCACGTTAACAATTACTGTCGGAACAGCCGGACCTTCTGCAGACAACAGGCACAGCAGGTCTCAAGTCATACAAGTTGTCAACACGTGATAAAATTTCTTATGTAAAGATTATCCATCCAGTGGCTATTGAAACGTCAGTGGTATAAACACTGCTCACTGCAAAGCTGGATGCCTGAGCTAACACAGATATTCATTTACTTTGGAATGGTGGCACTCCTTTGTAAGCCATGCTCAACCACCGTTTTGGCAATGGCAATTGCTACACGCTGTAAAATTGCAACACACTATTTACATAGACAATGAGTCTCCTCAGAAATAAGCAGATGATTTGGAGCGTATTTAAAACGTTGTTTCAACAACATGCAGCTTCAGCTTTCATCTCATTTACAAGCCTTAAGGTAGCACAAGTTTGTTCTACTTATTCACAGTCCTACGTATGCGCTATTCAGAGAGCATACAGAATTAAGCACATTTTATACAAATCTTAACCACATTAGTTATCTGCACAGTAGAGCGACGCATTCATAATCAAGTTTTAGAAGAGTTAGTGATTGCAACTTTTCCAATATTACTGCTGAAACCCCAAATGGTCCTGCTGTGCCACATGCTAAAGATTCATCAAAAACACGGTGCAGGAGAAAAAGGAGAAGGAAGAGAAAAGAAAGTCATTATAATGGAACAGGCTTTATAAAGTTATTTAGTTAAAAGGTCTGCTACAACTTAAGTAGTACCATTTGCCTGAGCAACATTAACAAAAAGTAAATTATGTATTCATACTAACGACTTCTTAAGTGGTACTATAAGTTTACAAGAATATTTAAGCTTTCTATAGCTTCTGCAGGATATTACTCTTAATCATTTAAGGTTTTTAGAAGGGATGTATTTGGCAAAGTTGGATACTCTCCAGAGTCACTGAATTGTTCACAACATTTGCCATATGATTAAACATTCATAATACTTTCTAGTGTAGCTCATTAGAGCTATTACACCCACTTTAATGAAATTATTTGGGAAATATTAGGAAGAACTAATCTTGCCTAATAAGTTATCTAAGGGGACATGAAAGCCTTACCTAGAGTTTGTTGCGTACCATTTATATCTCACTTCAATTAGGCATGATATATCTTAATGCAAATGACGAAAGGAACTTTCCAGTATCGGAACCACTATACAAGGTGTTTCCAAGAACAGGTCTGCAACTTATTTTTCAAGTATTTATTACAACTTATGACATCTCACATTTCTAATAAGCAGAACAAAACTGAGTTCAGGTATTAACTTACTTTAGTTTAAGAACTCCCCTCCGCAAAGAAAAATCCTTTTTCTATACATCATCCACTCATTAATGCAGGAGAAGCAAATCTACTTTAAAGGAACATTCTCTTTATAATGCACATCTTTCCTCAAAACAAGAGGACTACATTCATTACTTCTGTTTGTTTAACATTGAGAGAAATAACTACAAGCTTGCAGGGATACCTAGAATGGTTTAACACCACTGGTCAGATACCGAGAAATTAACAAATTCAATTTGTGAGTCAATTAAGACTGACATGCCTTGTAACATTAACAGCCCAAATTAGCTGAAGCTGTAGTAGCCCTGTGTTCAAGTGCAAATAGATCTAAGAGCAGAAAATCTAGGCCCCCCCCCCCCCAAATGAGCAGGGAGAGGTCATTTTTTTAGTCTTTACAATTTCATTCAGAAAATGTAGACAACTGACAGAATGAGCCAATGAGTTCAAAGAAGCTACCTTCTTACTTAAGAAAAAGAAGAAAATTATCAGGCCAACAAGAGCCAAGAGATACTCAGGAGGAAGATTATTTTGGAGAATTTATTCTGAAAGTATTTATTTAGAAATGAAATGAAAATTCAAGTTATTCAAGATTAAAATCAAGACATTTGTACTAGCACACAGATTATGTTGTGTAAGCAATGCTAATACAAGACACCTATTTTCAATGCAGTTTAGAATCCCTTATCTTCTTCCAGTGAAGATTCATTGAGTAGGAAAATTCTGATCTACCTTGGGGCAAGCTTGCTGCTGCACAGCACAGCATTTCAGAAGTCAGACCACAGAACTGTATTAATAGATGTTAACAACCCAAACACGGGAAGAAAAGGTGAACAGACAATTTGTTGAACAGAACTATTTTAATATTTCTGTCATTAGGTCGTCTGTCTTCCAGATTTCCCCCACTCCTCTTTCCTTTTAAAGGCCAATCTTGTACAACTTATTTATGTTTTTTAGTAATCAAACAGGTTTAACAAAGCCAAAAGTAACCAGGTAACAGTATAAATCAGCCACTATCAGTTGTGAGCATTTGATCTAAAAGACAGTATCTTCAAACTAGAAATAGAGTCAGAAACCAGAAGGGTACTTAAGGCAGAAGGTAACAGGTGTCTAACTAGCCTTACAAACTTGAAACTTAGCAAATTAGCATATTTGCTTGCATTAGAATTTTAAAGTTACAATTGTTCAGTCTAAAGTGTATTCTTCATTCACACTAGCTCCAGAGCTTAGCAGAAAAATGACTTCCAATCACCAAGTTATGATGCATCAATAAAATGCTACAATATTTTGGGTTGCAAAAATTCAAACAAATGTTCGCAGCAGAGATATTTTTAGAAAATTTCTTCTTAGCAGTAAAGTAACTTCCTCTAGATACAAGAAACACAATATTCAGGCTTGAAAAGAACAGGTTTTTTTGAATACTGTCACCTCTTTACAAAAAGAGAAATTAGTCCGCAGCTACTGAGAGCAACAGTGGGGAGGCATAGCCGAAGCTGTCCAAGTTGGGTTTGATTTAGCACTTAGTATTTGTATACATAAAGGGCCTTTAAGCTTTCAAATTTTAACTGGTAAAAGCAGCTGATTTCACCTCCCCAACTCTTCTAAGTTAGACGTTCTGCAATTCTTCTTCATCCCAAATATTTACTTAAACTAGCTTCTGGTAAAAACTGTTATATTTTACTAACCTGGGGATTGTACGCTTTCCTGAGGAGTAGATACGCATAGTTCCCTATGTTTCATCTAAATTTTGGGCTAGTCAGTAAAGAGAACTAAGCCTCATTTTTCATACAGCATCTCATGCTGCAGAACTTTGAGCAGGATGCGGCTGAGGTGACGTTTCAAAAGAGGAAGAAAGCCTGCTTTCAAACCTGCTTGGCAAAGACTTTATTTTTCTATCCTGAAAGATAGAACAGATGTTTCTTCTTCCATCCCATAGCAAGTTGGTTTTGTATCATCGCAGTCACAGTAAACATGCTGCACTACATGGCTAGGCAATAACCTAATTTATCAGAACATTACAAAATCCTGTTCTATAAAAGTAAGTTCCACTGTTACAGCCTCTTTCCTATTCCTGTTCTCCACTATTTTTGTCAGCATTAAAAAACACAAAACGAGAGGAAAAACAAACATTGCAGCCTTCCTCCACTATGCCTCTCCAGTTCAACCTGCATCAATACTCCAGATCAAACTTTTCTAAAAGACAGCACTGGGGAATTAGCCATCTGACTTTGCCACAGACCTAAGAGTTGCAGTAGAAATGGCTACAAGAGACATTCAAGTCTGAAAGCAAAGGCCATCTGACAGATCTGATGCTTCCTTTGGAAGGAAAACCTCCTTCCTCTGCCCCATTCATCCTTCTCCAGCTGCTGCAAGGAGGTTTATCCTTTACTCCCGCTCCCTAACCTTTTCTAGGGCTCTACTTTAGTCATAACTCCAACAAACGTCTGCTAGTCATACCTTCCTTTGTATAGCGATACATGGCAAAAATATACATATATAGGACTGACTGGTGGCACCATTCATTTTACCACCGGGCAGCAGTAAAACAATCAAAATAAAGATCTATTAGAATTAGTCTGAAGCCATTTAGGGGAAAACAGCAAGCATTAGCAAAAGGCTTGGAACAATTTGTCTGTACGTTCAGTAAGGGACGCAACACTATTCATAGTGAAGAGTGTGTACATGCAACAATCGGGACCAAGTTAGTTAATTTTAAGAGAAAACTCAGTCCTACTGAAGCTGATGGGCATGCCTACCTACCTCCTGCCTGCCTTCAAAAGTTTCTCAGTGGCAAGCTAGGCAATGGATTTTTAAGTGCTAGATTTCCCAGTTCTGACAAAAACCTTCTGGTTACTAGTAACGTACTTCAGCAGAAAGGGGCCTGCGGCACCGTGCAGGGGGGAAGATGTCAGTCTCAAAATCAGCAATTAGCACATAATGGAATAGTTAGGAACAGTATCTTTAAGCTGAAAGGAAAGTTATGAAAAAGGTGGACCAATAAGATCCAAAGAGATTTCCCCTAGCAAAATGAGTGAGTTTTTCGTGTTCCTCAAAGGGGATTAATACAGTAGAACCGTCTCACACTTTTGGAACAAAATCTATTCATAAGATTTTTATAATCCAGAAAGTAACAAGAAACTCTGAGTGTGCAAAGCAAGCAAATAAGAACTTCAGGAGGGTCATATTTTGCGTTGAGTGGTACCAAGAACGTACGTGTCATACGTAAGCCCGACAATTTAAATCCACAGAAGAGGTGGCAGTGAGCAGCTACCGAAGCCTTGCCTAAGGCAGCAACATCACTAATAGACAGGCTATCTTTGGGGAAGTAAAAGAGTAGAACTATCCAAGACAGTAATTCATCAGAGGCCAATTCAAGAACATCATCATGATATTAGCTTAGAAAACAGAAAGATGAAAAGCAACAGAAGAGATGAGGCATTCATCACAGGAGGAAAAAAAAAAATCATTTAAGTTTCTACATTAAAAATTGTAACAGTGTTTCCTCATTTAGCTTCCATACAATTTTCTTCAGCATCAGTTACCTTTACAGAACAGGGAATAAAGGAATTTCACAGAAGAACATGAAACCATATTGTTAGTCTATTTCCTTTTTATTTCTCTAGCATGCCAAAGAACAGATGAGTTAAGTTATTCAAACTTTCTATGCAGATATATTTCATATTAAACTCACCATTTGCAGCACTAGAGTGAAGTAGATTAATCACTGCCATCATAAAACTTAACTTAAAACAAGTGACAGTGGAATAAGTTTGATCATTTCCAAAACAGATTATCTGTAGCACATGTATGAACATTTCTAGTACCTATGCTCAATAAAGAACAATATGCATAAAACAGAAATTTCCTCCCTCAGCGTTAGTTGGCAGGTCATAGATGCTCCCAGAACAAAACACCCCCCAAACTCACAAGTCATTATTTAAACACTTATGTACAAGAAAATAAAACTGACATAATCACTGCCAACCAGATCAGTTTGGAATCTGAATCACAATTTTTCACAAAAGGAAAATTAAGAAAACTCTTAACTGGACATTTTATTTCACAGAGAGCCTTCAGAGCACATACAGGAAATCCTTATTTATAAATCCTGTCTTACTTCAGTAAAAAGTACTGTAATGAACCCACACAACATACTACTCTTTGGACAGCACCCCGTACCACGTATCACCATGGACTCATCACTTACATGGGTCCAGTTCCTTCTCATAGTTTAATGACCTCTTAATTCTCCCTCTGCTGTTCCCCAGATACTCTTGGTCACAAAGACATAACGCTTACCCACCTCCAGCACTAGAGCCAGGCAGTGCTTCCTATATCCGTTTTACACCTATAATGCTCCACATTCAGGCTCCCTGTTACACAGCACATTCCAAAAGTCTCACACATCATCTAAACAGCCTCATCACACACAGCATACGTCTCCAGAACCTGCAGGCTACAGAGCCACTACCTTGTAACACATCACCTAATCCTCTATTTTTCCATTTATATCCAGTATCCCTATATATCACAAAGTTCCCTAAAGGCCCATTTTTCTCAGTGTATCCCACAACTCCAGTGATAAGTGGATACGTGACACCGGGAGACAGACTCAGCAGTTTGCAGAAAAAGGAAGTAAGCAGGTGAAAGGAGTGCTGATGACCAGGGACAGAGGGAAAGCAGAGAGGCTTTAGAAACAAACGTGGTGACTGAGGGCAAGTAAGAAAGGAAAGGTGCCACACATGACATCAGTCATAATCAGTAAAAGCACAACTGCCTCCAAGCTGCAGATCACAGTTCTATAATACTCTTACTTTAAGGTGATATATGCCACAAAAATCTGTTTAAAGCTGTAATCTATATAAATGGGTTTTAACCTTTGCCTTTAGTTGGTTTCTTGGTGGGTGTGTCAGCTGAAACAGTTACTTCAATATTATCTGGATCACCTCCTTCCTCTTCTATAGCCTGAAGACGACAAAAAAAATTAATGAAGTTTAATGGGAACCTGAAGAATTTGACTTTAGCAGATGTCAAAGAGCCAAATTATTGATTCTTTCTAACTAAAGGGAGTATTACATAAAACAGCTCAGGCTAAACCTTTCACTTGAAACAGGGGAAGAGCGAGAGTCCACGAAAGACAGCATTTTAATCTGTTAAAATGACATTTTCAAAGGACTACATATGAAAGATCAGCACATTTCTCTTTGGAAACATAACACTAGAAGGCCGCTAAGACAACCGCGATGACATTAAGAGCAGGCCAAAAAAACAGGACGGGCGGGGGG